AACTGATAGAGAATCATCCTAATTCACTAGGTTTACTTGCAATTTACTTATCCGCTACTAGTAATTTCTAAACAGTTTGGAGAAGAGGCAAAGAGGAAACACTTGGATGTGGCACTTCAAAACTGTGTTGTCCGAGGAGGAGAGCCGGCTTTCCCGGGGTTCTCCATCAGGGATCGCGGGGATAACAGCCAGTCCAGTCCCCCAGAGGTCCACGAGGGGCCTGCAAACTGACACCTGCACGCCTAAACCCCGAGCTTTATGGATTGGCTCAAGCGCCCCTGGAGTCCCTTTGCTCTCTGGAGGACCCTCAGAGACGCCGTTTATTTTCGAAAATATGAAATAACTGCATGTCCAATACAGCTCGCGTTGCACCGCTGCCTTCTGCCCCCTCCCCCATTCCCAGAGGGACACTTTCCAATGTCTGAAGCACGGCAAGAAAACCCACAAAAATCGATAGCACCGGTGATTTCATTAAAAGTTTGCAGAGTGCCTTTCCCCGGCTCTGCTCCGGCGCTCCCGGGAGGAGCGGGGCCGGCTCAGCATCCCCCTTGCCCCGGGCACCCCCTGCTTTGATTTATTCCCATTTATTTCTCGCAGCCGAGGGCTGTCTCCCCCCCTTTGATGGAGACTCTCCCGTGTGCGCTTCCCTGTGCCCTGGGGCCCGCGGTGATTTATTGTCCGCCCGCCTCCCCATGAACTTCTCCCCCGCAGCCCCCGCCGTGCCCGGGACCCCCCGCCCGGGGAGGGCACAGAGGGGCAGGGATGCTGCAGCCTCCGGGGGCTTTCACCGGGATTCTCCTGGGCGAGATTGGAGAGAAAATGTACCATGAGGTGCCAGGGAACCGCACACGCCCAACCTGCCTCACGACCCCCATCCCCATCCTGCCTTGCCCAAGCGCGATTCACGAAGGAAACATCTTTTAGCAACGCAGCCTGGCCTGAAAGTTCATTCTTGTAACAGCTTTGGTAGGCTCAACCTGAATGAAGGGGGCAGGAAACTTTCCACCAAGCCGTAAACACGCGAAAGTCTGTGACAAAACAAGAATTAGCAGCAGCATCTACGTATTTCTAAACGTAAATCTAGGATTGACGAGGCGCTTCAAAATGCAGGAGGCGTTTCAGTCCCTCTGCGGAATCAGGAGCATCGCTGGATGCTTTGCACGATGAGTGCTACAGCTGGAAAAACGTATAGTTAATAAATAAATAAAGGGAAAACCCACAACACATAAACCCCCAAACCCCACATGGAAATTGCTCGCTAAGCTACCAAACAGCAACGCAGGTATTTGTCATCCAAGGAATAGAGCGATTTGTCTTCAGTGTCTCATTAGTCAACAGAGGTTAACTAGCGAGCCAGTTAGTGCGTGTTCAAATCCAACCCATTTTCCTTTAAATATGTCTGAGCAGGAATCTGTCCGTTCGGGAATTGTGTGTGGATTATTTCTAAAGCTCGGGCAGGATGGCCTCTGGCGCGACAGGAGCTGCCCAGGAGCTGGGGGTGCCCATCCTTAACCGCATCCCCCCGTTTGCTGGGAGACGCTTCACAGCAAAAAAAAAAAAAAAAGAAAAATCACTAAAAAACCACGGGATTTCGGTCCGGGATGAAACAAACGCATTCTTGTCATCACGCCTGTGTGAATGGCACGGTGAGGAAAGTGCCTACGTAGAAGGGAAGGGACCCGCATTGTTGTGCGGGTCTATTAACTCCTGCCGTGACCTCGAGGAGCTGCCACGCACCGCCCGAGGAGGGTCCGCGGCCGCAGCCCCCTCTCTCCCCATCCCTATTTTCTCCATAAACACAACAAAACCCGACGTTTCAATTCGTGGATTTAATAAACGGCCAGACCGGTCCCGCAGCACAAAATGTGCACTTTGGAGAGACTTCCCGGAATATTGATGGTTTTTTGCTCCGTCAACCAAACGTTCGAGACGAGACCCGCTAAAACCGACCCGGCTCCAAAATAACAGTGACCCGAACGTGACGGGGTAGTGCACGGATGAACGACATTTTTTTTTTCCCGCAGCAAGTACGCTTTTTCAAACATCAACAACGTCGAAAAAAATATTAATAATAATAACAATAACAGGCGATTCGAGCAGAGGAGCGAGGAGTCGCCCAAAACGCTTCGGAAACCGCAGCAGTTAGAATACAAATACTATTTACCTTGTGATTTTTTCCTGCCCGGGACTGGCTTTATTGTCCCTCCCTGGACCAGCCCAGCCGCAGCCACGCTCCCTCCGTGCCGGGCTCTTTGCTGCCGGGCTGGTGCTGGGAGAGATTTGGGGGGGGCTGCTTTCATTCTTACATTAGGACTAGTTTAATTTGCAATCTGTCAGTCCATCTCCTGGCTGGGGCTCTGAGATGGCAGTGTGTGGCTCTCTCCCTCCTCTCTCCCTGCACAGCATTTACTCACGTTCAAGAGCAGCCAACAGAGACCAAAAAAAAAAAAAAAAAAAAAGGAACTAATTGAGCTTGTGTCGGTATTGGCTAATTTCTGCTAATACTCTGTAAATTCCTTTTTGCTTCTTAAGCTTCCCCCACGCAGGTTAGGTGTTCCCAAAGCCTCTCTGGAGCTCCAGGAGCCGCTTTCTCAGCCCTGATGGGTGGCTGGGCTTCAGCGCCTGGATGTACACAATGCAAACCTTAACTCCTGGCTCCAGAAACGGTTAAATTGCCCTTTCCCAGCCCCCACCCCCGTTATGATTGACTCTGTTTTTAAATTTGCACTTGTTCCCACCAAGCGCAATCTAACTCGTCCTGTCTCCAAAGTGAACTTGTGTTGAAGGTGAAGTTTTCTATATAGAGGTCACGACACCGAGGCACAGCTTACCGCTCCGAGCTTCATGCTGTATTAAACACAATCAAAACGAACCCCTTTTAGACCTTTTTTTTTCTTTTTTTTTTTGTTTTCTCCTTCCCCTCCCGCGGATGAACAATGAGCAAAAAAAAAAAAAAAAAAAAAAAAAAAAAAAGAAATCTCTTAAATATAATAAACTCAGCTCTGTCACGATAACAAACGCGCTCCTGGGCTCGCTCTGTGCCAGGTCCCTTCCTAAGGAACACAAACACACCGCACCCCGCGTTGGGTTGGAGCTCTTAAAGGGGAACGTGCGGGGTTGGTGCGGGGACAGCCCACCCTGCCCCGAGCGTGGGGGACACCGAGGGGACGCCACGCACCCGGGTGACCCCAGAAAGTCCCGGTCCCGCCTGTGCCGGGGGGACTCCACACAATCCCTGCACTTCAAAGCGGGGGGTTCTCTCCAGCGACTTCTCGCTGCCCCAGGACGGTGCTGCCTCCCGCTATTGTGCGAGCTTTTTCACGCCAAAGATTTAGCAGAAAAAATAGATATTAAAGCGAGTTATTTGTTAGGCAAACGCGGGTCTCTCCGGGGCGGGGGCACCCGGAGCCAGAGGGCTGGAGCGCACGGTCCGAACCCAGAAAGTTTTTTTAAAAATTTTTTTTAAATTGAAAAAAAAACTTTAATGGGTTTCGGTCTATGAAAAATAAGTTACAAATTCTTGCAACAGTAGCTTTGCATGTACTTATTTTTCTCCCATGTCCAGACGGGGTCGGCTATTGAATAAGGCTCTTTTATTCTGCATGGGGCAGGGGATTTGTGGCCATGGTCCCCCTTTTATTCCTCTCTCTATGGAAACCCAGATCATGGGGAGAAATATGCGAGGCTGAATAAAGAAAAGCAGCAGAAAGGACCGCTTGAGAGCGGCATCTGTTACACTTGGGAAGTTAGACTGACAGGAAAGAGCTAAAGAAACCCTCTCCAGCAGATTAGTTAGAACAGCAAGAAGATTTAACTATATGCAGATAAAAACACTATAAAATCCACCATACTCTGCTCTAGGCGAGGTGAGAGCCGCCTCGGCAGGAGCGGAGCCGGGCTCTGCCTTAGCTACATTTGCAGCAAAGATTAAAATGGGACGTTCGGGGTTTTATTTCCCTGCTAGAGACTCTGCCTTAATTAAACGGCGGATCTGAACATCTATTTTCACGGGCGATGGGATTTGAAAAATTGTTTCGGAAGTTAAAGTGCAAATTAATTTTAAATAATTTAGTTACGTTTTTATACAGCGCGGATTTGATGTTGTTGGGGGGTTTTTTTGGTTGGTTGGTTGGGTCTTTTTTTTCTTTTTTTTTCCCGCGGGCTCCTGTGATGTTTATTTCGAGGAGCTTGTGAAGGCGGAGAG